GGGTGGAGGCGGGGGAGGGGGAGCGCGGGGGCCCCTCTCCCCTCCTCTTTTCCCAGCCCTTCGCCCCCACCCCTTGGATCTATTTTTTTTCCTCCCAAGTTCTCTTGCCTGGCTATCCCCCCTTGCATCCGAAGGCGCCTCGCGATTGGGTGTCGGGGCAGGGTACGTCAGTCAGACTGTGACGTGCAGTCTTCCTGTTTCCTTCAGCTGTGTCTTAAAGTAAATCTTGTTGTGGAGCGCAGCCCTCTTCTCTTCGGCTCCCTTCGCTCTTCTCCTCTCTTCTCTTTTCTTCTCCTCTCGCTCTCTCTCCCCCCTCCCCACCCTCTCTGCTCGCTCGCCCCTCTCCCACTCGCCCCATCACTGGCTCGCTGTCGCACACTCACCGTCCCTGGTCCAGTTATTCTATTCACCGCCCGCAAGAGCTCCCCGGGCGCGAGCGCGCGCTGTCCTCTCGCCGGCGGGGGCGCAGACACAGCGCGGCGCGGTCCCCCTGCGCTCGGCACCGCGTAAGTACCTCCTGTCCCCTCGCCAGTCCCCTCCCCTTTTCCAGAGCCACTTGTGCTGGCTTGTTCTTCAATGGGAAGAAAAGAGAGACTCCCCGGACTTAGACGCGTGTCAACATCTTTTTTTTCCCCTCCCCCCCAGGAGAAAATGGTGTTATTTAAATGAACCAGAAGAAAACCGCCTGGAACACGGTTTCTGAGCAGGAGCCTCCGTGGAACTCCGCGCTCCGCTCTCCCCAGTTCCGAAGAGTAAGTGATCCGCTCGCTCGGCTTTTATTTCTTTTTCTTTCCCGCTGGTGGCCGGGGTTGGCGGTGGCGGTGGCGATGGGGGGGGAGGCTGGCAGTGCTGGACTTGGCGCTGATCTTGTCACCTTTTGTGTCCTGGGCTGGGGTGCGCGGGGGCGCCCGCTTCCTTTCCTCTTTCTCTCGCCCTCGCTTCTCTGGAGAGAGGGCCCCGGGGGGACATGGGGTCGCTTTTTGTTCGCCCGGATCCCCGCTTTCCGCCGAGCCTCATCCTTCCCGTGTCCCCGGTGAAAACTCCTGGGCCAGCCCCCACGTCCCTTCTCTTTGTCTACTTTATTACAGCTGCCTTTCTTCCAGGCTCTTCCAATTTGCTTGTCATTTGCATACCTTTCACTTCTCCTTTTTAACCCCGGCGGAGGGCCAGGGAGCAGGGAGGTGGGGAGAGGGCAGAGGGGGCGCTCTGTTACTTTCCTCTCCCAACGCCGTGGTAGCCGAAATGTTGAAATCGGGGTTGGAGCGGTGGAGAGATGGTCCCGGGCAATGAGCGCGGCGCCCCCCTCTCCTGAGCTCCAGGAAACCCGGGGTAGGTCAAGTTGAGTGGGGTCAGGCCGCCCCGGGAGCCTGGAGGGGTCGTGGGGCAGAGGGATGGGTGCCCCAGCGCCGCGGGAGGACCCCCAGATCGCGCTCGGGTGGGGGGTGTTCTTGGGCAGCGGACTCGCGAGGCCCAGACTCTCGCAGTCATCGCTGGCAGCCGGTGGTGTTGGGCCGCTGGGATCGCGTCCTGGCTGGGTGGTACCTACAGTTTTGCCCCAGTTTGGAGGACTGGGGTGGAAGGAAAGGAGAGTGGGGGTAATTGCTAGTGGGAAGAAGAGTGAGGAGGGGCGGGAAGAGCTGCTATCTT